CCTCCGTCCCACGGAGGTGAATAAAAGGCCCAGTGTTTCACTACTTCTGATGACTCAGCTCTCTACTGGACACTCAACCATGAGACTCCATTCCCTTCTGTCTGTTTTTCTCCTCTTTGTGACTATAATATCAGAAGGTAAGATGGGGAATAATTGTGGAGGTAGGTTTCTTAGGAGGCCTATGGGTCCATTCCTCTCACTTATACTGTGGCCATCCTGAGATTCCCAATGCACATCCTTAGGGATTCACAAGTCCAACATGATCATCTCCTATAGATCTGATGAAGACAAAATTGAGAAGCAGGACTGCAGTTCCAAAGACAGAAAATGGGATCTAAGGCCTCCATAATTAGAAAATGGGGCCCAGGCGGTGCCTGTGGCTCAAAAGGGTAGGGCGCTGGTCCCATATGCCAGAAGTGGCAGGATCAAATCCAGCCCTGGCCAAAAACTGCAAAAAAAAAAAAAAAAAAAAAAAAAGAAAGAAAGAAAGAAAGAAAAGGGGGCCCAAAGAAAGAAATAGAGGTACAGGAGCTTTGGAATGCAACTTACAAATTAGTAAATAAAGCAAATAGCTACCAGTAGGGCCCCACCCTGAGTTCAACTCAGGGCTGGCATCTTGTCTCACCTTTCTGGAGAGTGAGGCCCTCCTGATAGCTATTTGCTTTGTTACTAGTAGCCATTTACAGTTTTACTAATATGGTTTGAGAAGGCAAATGACATGGAGTCCATTGGTGAGTGATATTCCTAAAGGGTAGAAGTTAGGTAAATCAGACAGATCTTAGCAAAAAAGCATTGTATCAAGTTAGAACAGAGCAGTAGTAATTTGAGAGCAGAGGAATGTGGAAGAGCATAAACAGTGGCAAGAAAAGTTTAAGCCAAAGAAAAATAATACAGGATCGTTTTAACAATCTTAGTTGTATCCTAAGGGTCCAGGATTCAGAGGTTTGAATATCAAGATGTAGAATTAAAGTGAAAAGGGAATATAGTTGTGTTCAGATTGTTTCTTCCAGATCCTGGTAAGATTTGATAAGATTCTTTTCTCCACTAGTAATGGCATCATGTTCTTATTCCTTGGAAAAATGTCTATGGTCATTGAACATAGATTTTTTTCCTTGGCTCATCTCTGAGATTCCCATGCAATCAAATCTACTCACTTGTTTAATCACTGCCCATCTATGGCCATATTAGAATCTGCCTGACATATGGTGGTCTTCCTCCTGAAGGAGTTCATATCATTCTCATTTGGTTCTACGCTTCGTTCAGCAGACACTGGTGAAGTGGGACCCCCTGGTGGTGACATATAATGGAAAATTATATGCCGTTCATGATTTAAAATTATCCAGCAATTTAATGGTCAATTCTTTCATTGCAGATAGTAGAACCCATTAAGTCCACATAAAGCCAGTATGATTTTACTAAGGTCACATAGGTAGCAGCAACACTGCAGCCAGAACCAAGCAGGAATGTACATAAAAATGGCAACCCTGATTTTTGTCAGACTTTTGTCTCAAAATCTCCTAATTAGATATTGAGGAAACTAAGGAGATTTTCTGCCATATGTGACAACATGGATGAACCTGGAGGAATTATGTCTGTGAAATAAACCAACCACCGAAAATGAAAGCTACATGATTCTTCTTATCCAAAGTGCCTGAAATAACCAAAGTCATAGGGATGGACACTAGAATGATTGTTGCCAGGAACTAGGAGGAAATGTTATTATCACAATAAAATACAGGGGAAGAACACGAGGTTATTTGAGGTTGGAAGCAGAGTTAGTCTCCCCACAAATCCAACAGGATTCTTCCAAAGGCCTCTCTTTCCATTCATGACATCTCCTTCCTCAAGAGCAGGCAACATCAGCCTTCCTTTGTTCTTCCCAAACCAATTATAACTCAAAGATGGATTTTTAAAAGGCCCGATAATTCCGTGCAGAAAGAATTCACTTTCAAAAACCCAGGTCTCTTATGATCAGAGGATATTAAAGCCACATGGAAAGATCAGAATGCCTAACTTTTGCATATTGAGGTATTCTTGGACATATTATAAAATTAGATCAAGAACATGCTTTGGGTAAAAATATATATATATTTTTATTAACAGTGGTATGTCTTTTAGTACCAGATAGTTAATTGCTGAGCTATCTGCACAATTTAATAATAGTACAATCCTCAAAATAACTGATTTGAATCACTGCTATGACACTTTGAGGATTGGAATCTATCAGTTGTCAGAAATCAATCTAATAATTTTAGAATCATTTTTTAATTTCAGAATATTACATGAATACACGTTTTGGTTACTTAATTTGCTTTTGTACATTTTTTTTTTTTTT